CCCGCCCTGTAATGCATCTGAAGACTGGAACCGCTCCACACGCTGACAAGGGAGCGTTTCCCTGTTGCAGGAAAACTGGACGAAGTGTTTGGTTCAGAGCGTGAAATGTCTTTGAGTTTATGAGGGTTCATCTGTTTAGCGCTGCAAGTATTTTGAGTCCAAAAGGGGAGACGGGAGGTTGGGGATGGACTGACGGACAGGAGAGACCTGATCTGCCTGAAACTATGTTCTGAAGTCTTCCTTATGCACTGCAAGAACATGATAAAATGTTGGGGGTTTTGTCCAGCAAAGTAAAATTCATATTAAAAGGTACATATTGCTAACACAATATGCCAAAGGAGTATGTGTAAGTTATATGCTACATTTAAATAAAAACAACAGCCTTGAAAGGGATGAATAATAGAAGCATCTGGTCTGGCAGCCATCTTACTGTGAGCAGCATAGGATGCTGCTAATGCTAAAACTTGCCATCAGATGTTACCTGTGGCAGTTCTGTTCAAAAACTATGTTAGCAGTAGCTGCTTGTGGGGGGAGAGGATGTTATTCTTCTGTTAATAGTACCAGAACTGAGTTTTAATTTAAACCTTAGTACTAAGGACAAATTAAATTAACTTCTAATGTCTAGCCTTTTTTTTTCTTCCTCTCTGTTTTTGCAGAAGAAATAAATCACTTCCGGTGTGACTGGTGTTCTTCTGGCAAACGTGGCAGGGAAATCTGTTTTGAAAGTCTCTTCTCCCTTAAGATTTTAATTAATAATAAACAAAATGTAGTTTCTCGGAAAATGTTGATTTTCAGCAGCATCCTAGAATTATAGTGAGAATGGCATAAATGGCAAAATAGAGATGAATTGCTGATACTGTTCTAAAGAAAAAAATATCCCATGCACCAAGAGTCCTCATTTGCCAGTAAACTTCAGGAAAATGTTTGCGTTGGCTCAAAGCCAGGCTGCTTTACCAGTTCCCGGTAATGTCTTGCGTATGTTGCATGACAGTTCAGAAGAGCACATGACTAGAGGGGAAGATGAGTTAGGAAGAAATTGAGGTATTACAAGACTTTAAAGTATTTTCTTAAGGGATTGCAAGACTTTAAAGGAAACAGATTCTACAGGTGACTATTTGAAAATAAAGTCTGGAATCCAGCCTTCAATGTTGAACATCTTTATGAACATTCATAAACAGGGCTTTGTAATGTGTAGCCTAAGATCGTACATAAGTATTTTAGAGAGGCTTTTTTTTAAAAAAAATATTTGTTAGGAAATGTATTTAAATTTTGAAGTGTTTCTCTTCTATTTGATGAGTCTTTTAGATTTTTGTAATGCTCTAAGGTTTCAGAATTGACTTCTTTATTCAGTGTTTTAATTAATTACAGGTTTTAGTTAAGCTAAATTTTTCATGTAGAATTCTTATCAGTGATTTTTCTTACCCTATTCTTCGACTTATAGAGAACAGTATCAGTAAGGCAAGCTTATTTTACTTTCCAAATGTTCGGCCTACATACTGCCTATTAAAACTTGAACCTAATTGTATTCTACTTCCTTTTAAAGCAAAAATCATCTTGCAGAAATGTCTGAATTTTAATCTGTGATGCATTTGTAAAACATAAAACTTAGCCTCCCACGTATAACATCTGGGTAAAATGTTCTATTTACCCTGTAGGCTTTTGTTGGAAGTACCTGCAGTCCATCGCTTCTTACTGTTATGTTTCTTTTTAGTAGTTTATCCTTTTTAATGCATGAAGTTATTGAGTGGTTTCAACATCTTAATGTACTTACATCTTATAACACCCTGGTGCTCTGTCTTTTATACTCAGAAAAGCCAAATTGTAACACATACTTTCTTGACAGAATTTGGGTGGTGTTTGGTTTTGCTTTTCTCCCTTTCATTAAACTTAAGGTACCAGATAACAAGAGTTACTTTTTTTTTTTTTTTTTTAGCGCTGAAAAAACAGGAGCTGGCGGATTCGACAGGGCCAGAACAGCCCCCGTGTCTCGGCATCTGAAAATCTAAACCCTCCTTTTCTCGTTTTATTCTCCTTTTATTTTGTATTCCTTCCCCCCC